TGTGACAACCTTTATAACATTCTCAAATTGAGAAAGGAGTCAGTTTTGTCAATCTGAAGTTATAACATTTCTCCATCTTTCTGGCAATTTCATGATACCATCCCAAAAGAACTCCGTCGGCTTGGTGGCCAAGAAAGAATCCGGCCAATTTTTGATATCCTGCTTTGATATGACTTGTATTCCTTTCACCGCAATAAATGGTAGTCAGAAAGGACAAGGTCTGGGCTATAAGTCGAGTCGGAGTGAGACAAAACTTTACAGTCGCTGTTTTCCAGATAGTTTTTTAATCGGTTTTTAAAGATGAGGTCGAGCGTTGTCATGATGGAAAATTTGTGCCTAGTGTCCAGTTGCAAATTTCGGGCGTTATTCGACAATTGCTCGCTTCAATTTGCTGCGTTGTTGTCGGCCCATTAATGTGGGTTTTAGATATTTCGATTGCAGTGCCAACTGTCAAATATTTGAAATTTCGCCCTTCTCATCTACTTGGTTGCGATGACGGTCTGAATGCTATAAATGCACTAAATATTGTAATCCTCATCCCAAATGTCTTCTAAATTGTAAGAGCTCTTATATTCTCTTTTACTTCAACCTAATGGTGTGGTTAATCATCGATTTCTTATATTACTTAAAATATTATATATATATGCATGTACATATATTTTTACCAAAAAAAGTATACACCGCCATACACATATATATAAAGATAACTCAAAAGTTTGTTGGTTTATTGTAAAGATGAAGCTAAAGCCCAACCTTGAATCTGCCTCCTCTTATGTAGCGCCCATAAACTTCGGCTATCAACGGTAATTTTTCAAAATAAATACCTACCATCAATAACCACTTAAAATCATAAAACCAGCTCAATCATAAACATAAAGGTACTCATTATTAAACATATCTTTTTGCTGTCTTATTGCAGGTTTTAGCGTTAAATGCAGTTTCTTCTTCTTTTTTTTTGTCTTATTCAGCCTACAAGGTCCAATTAATAAAGCCGCGTAAATGCTAGATCATAAACGATGCACACATGTTATACAGTAAATGCCGTGACCGGCCACAATAAACAACAACAACAGACAATGGATCATAACAAACACGACTCTTCTGCAACAATGCCAGATTAACGGCGCTAGAATGGAATTTCGGCTTAGCCTCCTAATTGAACTGCATTTTCGTACAAATATTCTCAAGTAAGTGATAATTGTCTAAAATATATAAGTCTTCATTAAATCTAATAAGTTAACTGCCTGAGGACAACGTAACCTAAAAATATTTGTAAATCAAGCTGATTAAGTTTAATACAACAGACCCTTCGAAAAACTCATTGATGAGCTTCAAAGACGTAGACAATAACAAATTTCGTTTAATTTACCATTACTTCAAAATTTTGTGGGTTTCAATTGTAATTTCAAAAGTCTATTTTAATTACACCTTCGGTTTTTATACGCTTGCAACATGTTGCTACAGAGTATAATAGTTTTGTTCGCCTAACGGTTGTTTGTAGCATCTAAAACTAATGGAGATAGATTTAGGGTTATATATATACACATATAAATGATCAGGATGATAAGACGAGTTGAAATCCGGGTGACTGCCTGTCCGTCCGGACAAGCGATAACTTGATTGAAAATTGAGATATCTTGATGAAATTTAGTACACATATTCCGTGGCATCCAAGATATGTTGGTGTTGCAAATGGGCGAAATCGAACTATTGCCACACCCACAAAACGCCATTGAACGAAAATCTTTAAGCCGCAAATTAAGATGCAAAACTGTAATTTAGTACAGGAGATCGCAGTAGCCAGGGACACCTGTAGCCTAAAATATGTTTAAAAGACATGTCCCCTCCCCTTCAATGGTTCAATGTACGTATCTTCCTAACCACTTATAGATATATCAATCTAACTTGCTGAGAAGAAGTGATTCTATCTCCTCTTCAAACACTGTGAAAATGGGTAAAATCGGTTAATAACCACGCCCACTCTTCATATGACAGTTATGTTGTAGTATGAACAAGAGGCGTATCACCGCTCACCTTTAGGAGAAATCATATATCTTATTCAAACATTCCTATCAGACACTCCAAAAACGGGCGAAATCGGATTCCCATAAAACCTAATTTCCTATATAACGAACTTTTAAATTCTTTGCACAAATAGTGCGATCAAGGTATTTCATCTTACGTCCAAAAATTGACTAATTCGATTTATAACTTGTGCCGAAAATGTAACATAAATATTTTTGAAATTCCAGTTCAGTTTATACCGTATATTATACATTATGTATGAAGTCTTAATAAAATTCAGACAACACCTTTTTCTAATAACAGTGTATCCTCTTTCCATAAATGAATAAAATCACGGCGATACTTTCCTTACTTTTTGTTTTTGTGCCTTGCAAGTTGCATGAGTATGCAATGTTCGGTTACACCCGAACTTAGACCTTAATTACTTGTTTAATTTAATTTTTTTCAATTTTCTAAGCGCATCCATATATTTTTTTCCAGCTTTGTACACCCTTTTCTATTTCATTGTTGTTGTTTTTCAAATTTATTTTAAATATTTTTTGTTGTTTCAAATTTTTCTTAACTTTTTGTAAATTTTAAAAATGTTTGCTTTTGCAATTTTATTAATTTTAAGCCTTCCATATTTCTCAATTTTTTTAAGGGTTTTTTGTTTAACTTTTGTGGTTGAGTGATTGATGCGCATTGTTTTGAATAGACAAAAACATCAGCGAACATTGAAAAAATTTGACAACAAATTGGTAGAAAAAAAAGACATTTGAAATTTCGTTTATGCAGACATTTTGTGCGGGTGTTGAGCATTCCGTTGATCAATGAACCGCAAGCAAATGAAGTGTTTAGCAATCAATTAAATCAATGTCATGTGTCTGTGTACAGGGTACAGTGGGTTAATTGAGGCCACAAATAAATATGAAAATAGAAGTAAAACGAAACAAAAAAAAAAAAACAATTTTATGTAAAGAAATGTAAAGTGTTAAAAAAAATGCATGTCTTCTTCAAATTGTTTGCACATTGGTACATTTTTAGTGAATTATTTTCGACTCGAATACTATTTTATCTTAAACAATCTGTTAAACTGCTTAACTCTAGGGTTAATAAGGGGTTTTATTCACTTGTAAATTAAAAAAAATCATTTTTTTGTGAAGTTGATCCGGCAAATCGGAATTAAAAGCGTATTTGTTTACTTAATGTAAGCGTTTCCCAAAACTTTAAACGTGCTTTTCTCTAAACGCTATTTTCAGAGTCGGTGAGTAAAATATTTTCGAAATTTTCAGATGACCTTCTTAGAAATTATTCTGCGGTAATGATTTTTTATAATAATTTCGATTTTTTAAGCTGCTCTGAAGTGTAAATTTTTTCATTTAAAACTACTTCTTTAGGAACGCCGCTATTTTGCTAAAAAACAAAATGTTAACTAGACCTTCGATCATTAGTTGCAATTATCTAATATAATAATAAACTGTTTTGGTTTTTAGATTTAAGATAATTTTAAACAGAAAAATCTTCCTTATCCGAGGGCCACCTAAAGTTCGGCTACGGGATCAACGGATTCAAAACTTTTCCATGCATCTAAAAGCATCCACAAAAATACTCGTTTTTTCTGACTGCATGTGATTATAACCTCTAAAGGGTAAAGAGGTGTTTTCGTTTTCACTAAATATCTGGGTAATGTTTTGCTCTTAATTTCAGCAGATTTTCAAGTCTTAGATTTCAAGTTGTTATTTGAGATAAAACACAGCTGCCTCTAGAAATAATTGGTCAGGATGTTTGAAACGTTTTAACGTCATTGACATAAGTCCACTTTAGCTACTTCAACTTAAACCAAATTGTACCATAATTTTGACTTGTACGAGTATATAAGACTAATAGGTGGCAATATCCAAATGAACAAACCTGCTTAAAACCTCTAGCACTTAAATCCGGATTGGCAAAAAAAAGCTACACCTTCACGTTATTTAATACAAATCTTTATTATCGCCTTCAAAATAGGCTCCCGAGAAAATTATAAATCCATTTACTCATACTACACTTGTTATAAGCCTCGTCTGGGATGGTCTGCAGTACCTTCAAAACAAAACGTGAGTTTACACATTGATCTGTGGTAACGGAGATTTCATGAAACAATTCGATGTTTAATTCATAAAGCCACATCTTCTCATCAGTAGTGATGTATTTGTGATGAATGTAGGGCTCTCAGCTACGTTGTCAATCATCTCTTTTACGAACTCTTTTTTTCCAAAGATTCAGGTCTTTTGGTACGAGCCTAGCATTGACACGCTACTTAAAAACAAACATTAACCAAAATGTGTTGATTCGATTCATAAGAGATGTTGAGATCCCCTGCTATCTCTCTGACGCCAACGAGACGATTTTCAATCAAGGAAACAGTTTTTTCGATTTTATCGTCATTAATGGATGGATACGAGTAACTTGCATGAGACAAGTTTTTGGTGTCTTCACGACCTTCACTGAATATTTTTCTGCCACATATGCCATGTTTGTGTTCATGATAAAAAAGACTCTCCAAAATACTTTTGCAATATTTTCAACGTTTCCGAAGCCGTAAATTCATTGGAAACACAAAATTTCAACAAACTTTTAGGTATAGCAAAATGTGGACGCCATTTCTTTGAAATATGGCTGTTGTCTTTCCACGTCTTGAGTGCGGTTCATCGTGTGCGGTTCACACGTTTGACTATTTGGCTCAGCGGAGAAATGATGTAACCATGTTTCATCTATTGCCAAGTATCGAGAAATTCTGGTTTATTGCGATTGGAGGTTCTCTGCAAACAATATAAACATTTTCAGCATATTATTTACAAGAAATAGACTTTTCATAAAAAAAATTATCGGCTGTACAGGGTATGTCCCTCTCACTATTAGATAATACATATCTAATCCGCAAATAACAATTTATGTTATAAAGAAATATCACGCATAATCCCTAAACCCCAATTCCAGAAATAAAATTTTTTCGGTTTTGAATTTTTCGAAATTTTTAATAAGTTAATAATACTTAGTAAGAAGTTTAAACAATGAATATATTCTAATACTATTTCAAGATTTTACAATTTTCTTCATTACTCAAAGTTGAATTTATAGGAAAATTATTTCTTATTCGCAAATTAGACAAAGTTCTGTGAGTGCGTTGCCACCTATATGTAATGAGCGTTATAAAGTTAAAAATTTATTAAATATCATGCCGAATATGGACAGTGAACCTATGCTTCGTAGTCACGTACTAACCTACTCGTCTACCATCCTCGAGTGTAAGAAGTGAGATACAAAATAAACCTAACCTAAAATAAACATTTCACCTACAATACTACTCATATCGCCTGCGTTTATACTGTCCTAAGCAGAAGTCTACAGCATCTTCTTCCATGGAAATTGTTGCGTAGCGTCTAAGAAGTCCACGTTCCTGCTTGGTCATCTGTTCAAAACTTTTTGGAGATATAGTTTTTGATGGTGTTTGGAAATCATCCGCAATACCTACGCGCTTAAAAGACGATTCGAGCTCAGCTGAGCTCTCTTCGTAGTAGCAGTCCATAAAATCACAAAATTCCAAACGTTTTCGAGCTGTACAACGTCTATATGTTTCTTGCGACTCATATACCGCCACTTCTTGCTTTTTAATATCAATCTTCTCTGCGTTGAAAGTACATAAAACGTCTTCTAATTGTCTCAATGTCGTGTCTTCCTGATGGTTGACTGTTTCGTAATGTTTGTTGGCGGCCATAATTAGTTCTAAATTGATCAGTCTGGTTGTAAGACTCATAATTTTGTGAAAATATACTTTTGTTATAAAAATCAGACTACTGGTGCTTTATTTTTGCGGTAACTTCGATCCGATTTGTCGTCCTTAGCGCTATGCTGTTGAACTGTTACTGATATCTCGAGCTCAGTTCTAATCCTTTTATACCAACAGTCCATAATTTAGGTAAGACGGAAACTTTGAGATCGTTACAACTTATGGTTACCTGTCTTTAATTTCTATTTCGATTTGTTCGAAAAAAATTAGCTTTTCAAACAACTACAGACATATTTCTCAAAAGCGCCAACTCTACAGGTCTCTTGTGCGCGTTCCACTCCGGTGCAATTTACCTGTAACAGATCTTTCTTTCTTATAAGTTTGTGTGAATGTGCTATATGTTAGAACGTAACCTTGTGATGTAAATATGTATGTGTAAATGAGTAGAGAAATTTTTTACATGACAATTTAAAAATGCTCACCTTGAGTAGTAGCGTTCACATAAAAGTTTTTCGCCTGAACGAAAGATCGCATCACAAACGAAAAATCTATATTATTCTAGTATATTTTAAACGTTTCCTCATATTTCATCCAATCGTTCGCGATCTGCGACGGTGCTAGAAAAAATTTTCTTCATTGCACTAGTGATTCCGGCCTTCTCCGTGAATAAAATCTAAAAAAAAAAAAAACAGAACAACCCCTTCACAGATGCATTTTTTATGACATTAGAGGTTATCAAAAGATCTTTGTATTGATTTCGGTCCGAGCTGTTTTCCAAACAAGCACTTGAGTTTGGTCGGTCAGCTTGTATGGCAGCTATATGCTATAATTGTCTGATATCGGCGGCTCCGACCTATCGAAATATGAAAATCCATATTTCTTTTAAAATCACACTATGTGTGCTTTTAAGCATCAGCGACATCTCAAAAATATATGACAACCTGGCATTAAAAACCTGGGATTAAAAGCAATTAGAACGAGTTTCCGCGATTCCGATTTGTGACAATGAATGAAACATAGATACATATATCGCTGTACAGCTGAGTTCAATTGGCATTCCCGAATGGTTGTTATCAAATTAAGGTCGTCTAAATAGCAGAAAGCTTAGACACCAGTAAATATGTAGTTTGTCAAGTGTGGCAATCACAAACTTAATAAAAAATTCCAAATTTCATTTTATATATTAATATCAAATATGCACCAGGTGATATTATACCGAATATAACTCGTTGAGTGATCCAAAGACCAAGTTGAGATTTGTTCGCGAATTTTCTGTCATTAAGGGAAGTCAGTGTCTTTATACTGGTTCGATCCCTTGTGATCTTTCTGCAAACACGAAACTGAGAACTTACTTCTCACCTACACAATGTTGGCATTTTACAGCAGAAGATTTCTGAAAATTTTCTTAAAGCTATAAATTATATTTCTTCCTATTTGTAAGCGAATGCTAAAAGTATATAACTACATATATATAAATGATCAGCGTGACGAGCTGAGTTGATTTATGTCCGTCTGTATATATGCGAATTAGTCCCTCAGTTTTTGAGATATCGATTTGAAATTTTGCACACGTTCTTTTCTATCCAAGAAGCTGCTGAATCGGGCCACTATAGGATGTAACTGTCATACAAACTGATCGATCAAAATTAAGTCCTTGTATGGAAAATTACCCTTTCTTAGACTTCCTTGACCTTGAAAAGGATTGTGAAGTTAAGCAGTTCTTAACTAGTTTTGAGTGCAGTACCAGTGTTGCTGCCGGAGTGATTACTTGCATTATTAGGGGTGCGCTGCACTTTGAAGCACTGGATATATCACATATTCTGCATGAAAAACGTTAGAGTGAATAAGGAAGTCTTAAACTAAATTTACTAGAGTTCCTGACAGCAAACAACTTAATCGACATTTTTTCAGGGTATTCCTTTAACTCGAAACATTCAATCTATATACCTTAAAGCCAAAACCTATAAAGTATTTATGTATATAAATGGTCAGCTTAACGAGCTGTGTGGATTTAGCCATCTTTCTCAATTTTTTAGATATCGCTCTGAAAATTTGCACCCGTTCTTTTCTCCCTGAGAAGCTTGTAATTTGTGAGAACCGCCGACATCGAATCACTATAGCATGTAGCTGTCTTTAAAACTGAACGATTGGAATAAAGTGCTTGTATGCAAAACTTTTTTATTTGATGAACTATCTTCACGAAATTTGACTGGGTTATTGTCCAAGGCAACGGTGCAATCTCCGAAGAAAATTGTTCGGATCAACTCACTACATTATTTATAACTTTGTGATATCACCCTGTATTCTTATTTGCCAATTTGACTCAAACTCCTTAAACTCAAACTACTTCCATAAATTAAGTTTACATATGAATATCAGACATTTCAACTCAGCTCGGTAATTCATGTAAAACCGCCAAAAATAATTTAATTACTGAATGAGCCAGCGATCCATTGAACTGACATGATGAATTAGTAGGCGAGCACTTAAATGACATATACATACGAGCAACATGCTCGCAAACATGTTTATGAAAAAGTATCGTGAGCCGATGTGGATGCTACGTTTTTTATGTTTTTTAGCAAATTCCGACTTGTTTTGTGTTTTTAATATTTTTTTGGTACAACTTTTTGCATTTTTATTGGTACCTTTATATTTTTGCTAATTTGTCGAGGACAAATGAAATTATTAGCGCGTGTAAAATTGAGAAAAAAACTCGCAAAAATTAAATAATAAATCAAAACAAATTTTAAGTAAAATATTTCGCTAATTAAATTAAACCAAAAATGTGGACGAAACGTAAATAACAAGAACAAGTAGGAAGAAGAAGAAACGCGAAAATATAATAATTTCATACAATTTTGTTAATAATCTTTAATAATAAACCCATTGTATGTATTTTTTTATATACACAAGACAGCAAGAATAACATAATATATATATAATATTTTTAAACATGCCAACAACAATTTACCTATATAAATCGGCGCTATAAATGTTTCATGTCATGGTTAAGGTTTTGCGAGTATTTAACCGCAAATACAAATGCAATAAGCAAAACAAAAAAAAAAACAAAAAACAAAAAAAAAATGCACATAAAAATCCATAAGAGCTTTAGGCTCACACTCGCCTGGCTCTAGTCGCTCCCACAGCAGTTTACAGCTGCACAGCCATTGAAGCCGCAATCAGCATTAACCGTGTTTGGCTAAAATGCCGCAAAGTAACGATGTTTGTGATAAAGTCAGCTGCACCAGTTGCTTTGCGATCATTACTGTCTGTCTACCGTTCCATCTTATGTAATCCTCTGAATGCCAATGTTTACTAGCAAGCCAGTTGTGTCGTCTCTTATGGATGCGCATCCACCAACCAACCTTCCAACCATCTTCCTATTCATTCCTACGTAATTCATTCATTATTATGTCAATGCACGATTTGTATTGTTGTTTTTGCCAGCACGTTCAAGCATCATTAAAGTCTTCATTGCTCATCTCACATTGCTGTAAATCTGCTGAAGAGCACTTGGATGCGGCTCTTCAAGTTCCAACGGCGAGTCGCGACGAAAATCAACAAGTGTGCAGTATGTCTGTTTTTGCTTGGTTTTTGTTACAATAACAACAACAATTTTCGCAAATTTGGTATTTTTATCCACCGCAGGCAGGAAGCTTGTCCATTTCTTTTTAAAACAGCAACAAACGAACTCACATGGTCGCATCACCCTTGGTGTCTGTCGCGCAGCTGAACTCTGTCGGACTTTTATGAAACCTTGTTTTGCTGTCGCCTTATAAACACATAGTTATTACCTTGACTTTTGCTCTTTTATCCACTTTTATTTGGAGATTTTACTTTAGTTTTTATTTTCCCTTTTTGGCCATCGCTTCACTCTCGCTCTTAATCGCACGAGGCCCATCAATTTTCCGCGTGCAACATTTTTCCCTTTTGTGCTGAATAAATGGACCATAAAAATAAGGGGCACAGTGCTGGTCACGTTTTTGTTTTTGCGCTGCAAGCGTTTAAATTTTTTTTTTTGCGAGGTTTTGCTTACGGTTTTCTGAGCTTCTGCGCTATCGATTAATTGATAGTGTTTTTGTAATGGAGTTTGAGAAATTAGTTCCGGCATTTGCTGTGAAAAACTCAATTGTGCAGCATAAATTAACGAGGAATCCTATGCGCGGTTTCTTTTATGAAGAGATATTGTGTGCAATTGGCATATGTGTCAAAATCTACCGGAAGATCTAAAGGAAATGTATCTAATAATTGGTATATCATTTATTTTTACTAAACCACTATTAATTAAGATAAATCATTTATATTAAAATTCAATAAACAGAAAAGAGAGTAAGCACGAGTTAGCAAAAGTAAAAGTAAGGAGAAGTTAGCAGCTGTTAAGATTATAACAAAACTCTAGATCATCGAAAATCAACTAATTTCATGCTTTTTCCAGGAAAACAACGACAAAAATGAAAATGATATTAAGGTGCTATCTTATCTATATAATTTACTACAATATATTTTTATTTTCTTTGCTGAGATTTGAAATAAAATGACGCTTGTTCAGCTGGTTGACCGTAGACCTCCGTCATTTTGGGCTACGCGGATGGAAAAGACTGCTTCTGAACTCGGGAAAATATTTGCAAATTTTTATATAACATAATATAAGCAGATCGAAAAAGCGTAAGGTATGTCACCGCTTTAATAAAAATATTCACTAAAAGTTTTCATAATAATTGAAATATACGAGAAAGAATTCATAAACATTTTCTCTCTAAAAAATAGTTATTAAATATGCTGTCCAAATTTCCACACATGTTATTAAGCTCCCTTTTGCCTAGAAATATAAGCCTTTTGGTCTGTCCACCATCAACATTGCTTCAAACAACCCTTTGAAAAATCTGATTAATTACTAGTTGTAAGCTTATTGCTTTTAAATAAAAAAATAACCAAAACTTACAAATATACCGCAAGCTAAACCAAAAACGTCATATATCAAATTTGTAAAAACTGACTTATTTCTAGATTTAGTATGAAAATCGTTGGAGTATGTATTTTAAACAAAAAAAATTACTAAAATTAAAAGTAAAACGTAATCTAAAATAAAAAATGTTTACCCCAAAACTGTATAAATTGATGTGTTGCTAGATTTA